CACACACACACACACACACACACACACACACACACCACCACCACCACACACACAAACGCACACCTACTGGACAGTGTGTGAACTATAGGCTGGTATGTGAAGAGCTCCACCAAGGCCAAAATTATTGTCATCAAGGCTGACAACAAAGCAAGGAGAGGTGGCAGACATGGGGGGTTGGGGGGGGGCATTGGTGTTGCACAACAGAAAGCATTTAAGACTCCTCATTTAAATTCAAATCTACAGCTCGAGAGGCTTGGAAAAGTGGCACCACTGGGTAAATAGTAGTTGTGAGTCGCCCGCTTGTGTGAATTGTCACATGGAGGTTTGTGCACCTGAGTAAATATGGGAAGAAGGAGCTGAAGGTGGTGGTGGTGTGTGTGTGTGTGTGTGTGGGGGGGGGGGGTGTCGGAGGGGAAGGGGGGGGTGTTTTCTTCGCAACCTGGTTTTGAATAACAATGCTGACTCTTTATTGGGGGTTTTATTTTTAATTAAGAATAGAGGAGCCTTTTTAACATGTCTTTTACGCATCTGGCACGAAGGAGCGCGTCATGACGCAGAATGCCCTGACGCGCGTGAGAACAAGTAGAGAGGAACTCTTTTTTTTTTTTTAATTATTGTCTTTTAATGAATTTAGACAGGTTGGATGATCTTTTTTGTAAAACTTTAATATTTATTTTTGTTTGTTTCAACAGAAAACTCAGTGGCAGCAAAGTCAGGCGGCTGCTTCCCGGCATCCTCCACGGTCTCCCTCCAGGATGGCACCAAGAAGGAGGTGCAGGACCTCCAGTCCGGGGACCGGGTCTTGGCGGCGGACGGCGACGGGAACCTGCTCTACACCGACTTCATCATGTTCATCGACCAGGACTCGACCACCAGGAGGGTCTTCTACGTGATCGAGACGGAGGCGGGTCAGCGGATCGCGCTCACCGCCGCGCACCTCATCTTCACCGGCAACTCCACGCGGATGGCGGCGGTGTTTGCCAGCAGAGTGCGCCCCGGGCAGCAGGTGCTCGTGCCCGCCGCCGGGGAGGAGCGGCTCGTGGCCACGACCGTGACACGGATTTACACGCAGGAGCGCGAGGGCTCGTTCGCGCCGGTGACGGCGCAGGGGTCGGTGGTGGTGGACCAGGTCCTCGCGTCCTGTTACGCGGTGATCGAGGACCACCAGTTGGCGCACTGGGCCCTGGCGCCCGTCAGGCTCGCCCACCGGGTGTCCTCCATGCTTTTCAGCTCCGGGCCTCAGACGAGCGCGCGGGGCGACGGGGTGCACTGGTACTCCAAAGTCCTGTACCAGCTGGGGACGTGGCTCCTGGACAGCCACTCTCTCCATCCACTCGGGATGTCCCCGAGCTGAAACATCAGGGAGAGACTGACGCGTCGGACACTCGGACTATTTAGTAAAATAAGATTTAAAATAATAATAAAAACGGACAAACGAGACAAAAAGGCCCCAGCGGAGTTTGGGATATTTATTTCAGTGACTTCTCCATGTGTCCCCCCCCCAACACACACACTTTTCAATGAACGAAATGGAGCCTTAAAAAAAAAAAAAAATCCTCTTTGAATAATTTATTCTCATGTGAACTCTGCTGCTGTCACAGAAGTGGATTGTGAAACGGTGCCAGCAGCACATTGTGCATAACCTATTTTTGTATATCTCAACTAGGAAAAAGGTTGAAAAAACTAAGAAAAAAATAATAAAATAAAATAAATTAAAAAAAAAAAAAAGAGAGAAAGACAGAACACCCAGAGACCGGATGTGACGCAGAACGGAGCAGGAAGTGCAGCCTGTTATATCTCAGCGGGGTTCCATAAATTATATTTTTATACACAGAATTGTAAATTAGATTTTGACAGATCGCGCTACAGAATCACATTTCGTTATTTGAAATAGTTGTAAGATATGAGAATATATTTTAATTTAAGAAACAAGTAGCTGAAAGTATTGGACAAAAACTGCTGTCTTGGTTTATCATTCAGATTTTTTATTGTTTTCATGGTCTAAGTTGTTGGAGACAGATATTCTGTCTTTATTATTTCATGACTGTATATGTTTTCCGTTTTTGTTTGTTTTGTTTTGTAAGGGGAAAAAAAAAAAGATCAAAATGCAGACAATTCAGTAACAGTTAAAGTAGTACGGAAACAGTTTGGTTGAATAAATTAATAACTCCTGTAAATGTACTAAAATGTTATTTTTCTTTCCATATTTTGTAATAGGGAGATAGTTTTCTATAGAGGAGACCTGCGGAAGATGCACAGTCTGGATAGTCTATAGGCAGACCATAACTTTCATAACAGGGCGATGTGTCAAAATGTCTAGAGTTTATTATTTATATGTTTATTACAAAGATAAAGAAAATCTTCATACTTGTAGTGTCTTTGTCTAATTGAGCCCTAATAAGATATTTCCCACCCCTTTAACATCCTAATTAATGCATATTAGCCGCCAATCTGAGTTACAGCCATTTTTGTGTTGGTTAAATTGGCTTGGCTGTGGCAGCCATCTTGAATTTGACTGATTTCAAAAATGATTGAGTTGTAGATATTCACCTATTGATTTCTTTCTGAGAGCATCATTAAAATCTGTTCAGTAGTTGGCGAGATATTTTGCTAACAGACATACACTGTTGACTGTAATAGTTGGTGCTAAAGCTTTAGGCAAAATTATTGCACAATGTGCAATGCTCTGAATATGTGTTTGGGACGACTCTCAGCTACTACCATATGGAATATTAACTCAATCTCTATAAAATTGACATAGTTATATACATTTTTGTGTTTTGTAAAGTTGATTGTCTGTGGCGGTCAGCTTAAATCATATTGACTTCAAAAGTTAAATCAGTTAAGGCTGCACATCCAGAGATTACTTTGTGCAATTTTTAATTAAATCCATCATGTGGTTCGTGGGAAGTTTTGCTAACAGACGGGCAGAGTCTATTCGAATAGTTAATGGGTTTTGAAACTCAGATCTAGCGCGATCCGTTCGTGCTCAAAATATGTGTTGGGGATGAAGCTCACCTACTACCATACCAAATTTTAACCCATTATATGGTACATTTGACGAGTTATAGACTTTTTGTGTTTGTAAAAGTTGCTTAGCTGCGGCAGCCGTCTTGAATGCGGTTGCCCCCAAAAATTAATTACTTGTAGAAACACACCTATTGATTACTTTCTGAGAGTCTCATTAGAATCCGTGCGATCGTTCACGAGATATTTTGCTAACAGACAAATGCACACAGACACGGCGACAATTATGCATGATTATTAGGTTTACTTCCATTCTAATCTTAATAAAGGTAGCGGATGGCCATCTGGGTGGCACTAATTAACATAAATAGTTAAAAACGTGATAATTGCGTTAAGTCAGGCCTGCTGGGAGCAAACATTTTGGCTGTTGCTGGCGCATAGAAAATGCAGAATATGGCGCTTTGAACTGCCTTTTGCGTGCTTGTGAAATGTGGAGGGCTTGTGTCAAATTTAACGAGCTCTGCCCTCTGCAAATACTTTCCAGCTCGCAGACAAATTAAACAGGAGCGTGTTTGTCTGCTTCCCCCGGTGTCTGCTGCAGCTTCAGGTCAAACACTCAATGCGGTCCAAATCTCAGCTCTGTTAGTCCCAACAAATCTCCATAATCCTCCCGTATTTTCATACAGATTTATAGTCTGCTATCTGGAGCTTTTCAATGTGCGCTCGGGCGCATCTTCTTGAAAGCAACCCGGTTCCTCCCGGAAGTCTGGAGGTTTTCATATGATGCAATGGCGACATCGTGTGGCCATATATCGGTACTGCAGCCAAAATATTAAAACTATAAAAACGAGCTGCAGTAATAACTGTGTTATAAGCACAAAATACGTTTTAAGAAGAAATTATACTAATTAATTTTAAAGATTTATTACTTTTATTATTTTGCCATGAGTTTTAATCAATGCTTGAGGAATAACAAGGGCTAAGGGAGCCCAGTTATTGCTTTTTTCCTGTATTAAAGCAAAATCAAGGTTTTATTTTAGTCTTACAAAAACACTTTTTTAAACCATTTTCTGTCCTTATACTTGAACATTTTGAGACAAATGTTCCCTTGTTAGTTGAGCCATTTAACTCTACGAATCCTTCAGGCTCGAACAAGTTTTGTCCGTTCAGCAAAAGCAATTTTGTTTTCATTCATTCAGCCTTTATTTATACAGGTCAATCCCACTGAGTCTCGGGGACTCATTTACAAGACAGACCTGATTTTAACAGAGTGATGACAACAGTGGACAACAAAATGTGTAATTGAATATTTAACTATTAGCCAAAGTAGTAGCAGACTGTCACAAAGATCTCATTTCTCTAGTTGAATTTATGAAGCATCATAGATAACGATTTGACTCGTCAAATAGTGTTTTAGCCCCAACGAGGGGATTTCTAAGAGCTGAATATTGACATAGAGCAACTAAAAGTTGATGAAATGCTCAGGTTGGACCTTTCATTTTAACTTCTTACAACTTTCAAATATAGTTCTGTTGCTCTAAATACTTTCCCTTCATTTCTTTTAAATTATTGCTTCTACGTTCAATGACTGGAATGAAAATGAGTAGAAACAATAAATGTTTCAAGACCTTCAGAAAGCCTGGCGAAATATTGATCCAGACCACTTCAAAATGGGAGCAGAACTCCTGCACTGGATGCATATGGATATGCAAAACATATTATGGGAATTGAGAGTTTTACTGATACAAACTTGTCTGTCATTCTGACTAATCAAAGGTAAAAGGGGCCACTGGAGCAGTTTCTGAGCACTGTTGCAACATGAGCAGGAATTCCATTTTCGTCTCCCACATTGTGTTGTGCTGTTGATACTACGAGGTGGAAACTCCGGGTGGGACAAAGACGCCCATCTCTCCCAGCGCTGTGACCTTGGGTCCCTGTCAGATACAAAAGCGTCCGTGCAGGGCAGCATTCCTCAGAGCAGGTAAACAGAGCCTCCTCTAATCCCTCTGGGGGCCCTCAGTCTGCTGGAGCTCAACTGCAGCTTTTACAAATGTTGACTTTTGCAAACACGAACAGTCTGGCTTTCTGGAAAACAAAAACTCACAAGTTCTAAGAGAGCGAGACAATATGGTTCTGATGGTGTGGCTCGTCGTCCCGAAACATTTTGATCCTCTCTCAACTTTTGGAGTTTTAGAAAACGTCAACATAAAATATTTGAGTTACTTTTCAAGCTGAGAGGATGAAACAGATTTTTCTAACACAGACTGTACACCTGCTTTGGTTTTTAATTCAAAAATACTCATTAATCCCAAAGGGAAATTAAGTGTTGCCGTAGCTCATCATTCTGGTTTCATTCAAGAGTTGTTACCGTAGATGCTGGGCAGGAAGGATCTGGCCACAGATACCGATCACACCCAGCTTGCTGTCAGATCCGGCGGGCCTCTTGGACCTCCTGGGCAGCAGGACCGCCCGAATTCCTTCCTGAGCAATGGTCACTCCTCCCAGCAGTCTGCCAAGCTCCTCGTCACCATGGACAGCTGAAGGTGCCGATCCTGGTCCTCCTGTTGCCACGAGACAAGTTTCCCACTAGCTCCAGGATCTGGGTGGTCAGGTACTCGAGCACTGCCATCAGGTTGACGGGAATTCGTCCACGGCGCCTCCTTTTCAACTCATTTGGGGTTGCAGTTGAGATATTTGATTTTGATATGTCTATCAGCTGCTCATGGTTGTAAAAAAAAACAAAAAAAACCCACCATGTTGCCATAGTTACACATCATAGCAAACGGCCAAAAGTAAAAAAGTTTCAGTAAAAATCCTCCCAGCTGCTCAGCATCTGATACCAGAGTAAATAATCATATGAAAAAAGTGATTTACATCCAGAAAAAAGAGAAATTAAAAGTTTTCAAAAGCAATAGCTCAGAATGAAAGTAACAGAGCTGCTCCAACATGCAGCCACCCTGAGCAGCGCATTTTCTAGAAATGAATGGATTATAATAAACCAGCAGATTAGAAATATTTTACATTTTAAAATATATCCCCTTTACATTATAGCTGTTCACAATATATATAAACTAGGGATGCACAATATTATTGGCATGTATCGGCCGATATTAGTGATAAAGATAAATATCAGACATCAGCCATTCCATCAAAATAACTCACAGAAATAAAAGACGCTATTTTTGTACAACTCAGTGACAAGGATGCGACGTCGCACGCCTGATCTGATCAGGGCAAGAGTGGAAGAAGTGAAAATGCCGGCGGTGTGGAAGTTTTTTAAAAGTGTCATAAACTGATAACAGATCTGCTATTAGCAATAACTGCTCAGCATCAGTGATGCGAGGAGTTAAAACAAAGTCCTACAACACTTCAAACCTAATTAAGCATCTCAAGAAGTGTTAGAGACAGTGTCATGGATAAATATGACATTAAACATAATCCAAGTTGAAGTGTTGCATCATTTTCAGCCCCTTTTTGGTAACAGGCCAAACTGATAAAGACCATGCAGAATAATGTATTTTAATTCCACAGCAGAGAAAGCTGTGTAGTCTCTGCACATAGTTCTAGGAAAAAATATCGGTATTGGTATCGATTATCGGACAAATATTTTTAAATATATTGACATATCGGTCAAAAATCCCATATCGTGCATCCCTAAACTACTTGCTTCTCACAAAAAGGCATAAAAACAAGAAATAAGGAATGAGCCAAACATAACTTATGATTACATCACAAGATCTGGGAATAAATATTTCAATTGAATAATTAAAACAGGCATTTGCTTCTCTTTAAACTTAAAAAGTACACAGTAACACATTTTGTGTGCATAAAATGTTTATTTTCCAGTTTGTTTTTTTTTGTTTCTTTGAAACATTCATCAAGATGTAATTCCATGAACAAATGTTTAGCATTTTTCACATGATCATAAAAAACGTTCAATCGTTTACAGCATCTGAACAAACATTTGAGCACAACGTAACAATCACCATGATTTCATACATCAGTGATGAGAACAGATTCAGTGGAAACTCATCTAGTCATTATTTGGTGCGACACAGTTCGATAAGACCACGGTCTTATCAAAGACTGGACCCTTGAAGCTCGGGCGCAGAAAAAGCCTTAGAGGGTTTTGCTTTAGAGTATCTGCTCTGTGAAGCCGGATGTCGTCAAACAACGGTGATCCCAGCAGGCCACCCTGCCGCAGCTCATTCAACAACAGCGTTCAGGAAAAGATGAGAAACAGTCACACTCGTGTACGGTAAGTTTAAAAGAGCTGCGCAGCCGCAGCAGGCAGGGATGGAGAGCTGCGCTGGGAGAAAAGTTACGAGTCAAAGCTTGAATGCAGGCCTGAAGAGCTGAAATAAAACCTTCAAATGTAAAAGACGTTATTTAAAAAAAGAAAACAAAGCAGCGTCTTTGGCGGCAGGTTCTGATCAGCAGTTTTCTGTTGGGGGGGAGAAAAACAAATGTATGAGTTAATCCAAGACGAAACAGCTGTTAAACTACAATAAATCTCAAAGCAAAACATCTGTGCAGCTAAAAAGCTAAAATATCAAGTCAGCAGCAACACAAGACTTGGACCATACCAGAGGTTCCAACACGCTCTGTGCTGATCTGGAACCACCCACAGCTGATTGGACCTATATTATTGGTTTGGATTTTTTTTATGTGCTGAAAGGAGGAAATATTACAACTTCATGATTGATGAGCAAAACTTGATTTGAAGTGCAATTAAATATGATTTCAAGAGCAGAAAAAAAAAAAAAGACACGCAGCAAAATTTTTAATGGTTCCCAACACTGGTCCCTGAGGAACACCATCCTGCAAGTTTTAGTTGTTCCTCTGCTCCAACACACCTGATTTGAATGAAAGGGTGATTAACAGGATTCTGCCAAACTAAAGTAATTTAACCACTCAATCAGGTGTGTTGGAGCAAAGAAACAACTAAAACATGCAGGATGGTGTTCCTCAAGGACCAGTGTTGGGGACCACTGCGTTACAAGCATCACTTCCCATCTTTTTAGCTTCTGACCTACAAAACGACCCCCCCCCCCCCAAAAAAAAAAAATCTGCCTATTTAAATACTAACTTTGCTCACAACTGTATGAAGGGAATAGTACCCGGTAATAATACAAAAAGCTAAACATCTATGATACAATTTGTATTATTTAATCAATATTACCTTCATTCTTTGTAACCATTACTCTGAAAACATGATTTTATTTGAACTTTTAGCTACGGTTTTTCAGATTTGCTCCAACACGTGAAGAGTTTAAGCTAAAATAAACAAGATTTGCACCGAGTTTCGTCAGCTTGAGGTAAGATTACGCAAACAAATGACCCAACAACGTCAAGTTGCTGCCTCAACAATTTCAAGTCATTTGTACTCATCTGTAAATAAAAGTCAACAACGTGAACATAAAACTTGTGGACAATAATAGTGACACATTGAGCGGGACACGTGAAACCCCTGGTATGGTCACTGAAACAGTGTTGCTGCTCTGTTGGGCGGGTTTGAGCTGGAAAAGAAGTAGGTATCAATTTTACTCTAGAAAACTTCCAAAACATCTGAATCACCAGATGAACCTGATGGGAAACAAAACAAAAGCAACGTTAACGTTAGTGTTGGCTAGATATTTAACCATATTGCATCTTTGACCCCAGTTTGGTGTCAATTATTCGATATAAAGTTTTACATGCTGTAATAAAAATATCAGGAAAAAACCCTCACTGTTGGATAACAGAGGTACGAACTGCTGTAAAACCAACTGCAACCACATGATGAGGGGTTTATATAAAAGATGGCTGCTAATTAAACAGCCTGAGGTAGCACCTTTCTAATAATAATAATAATAATAAATAAATAGTAAATAATACTTCAATTTAAAGTACAATAGATTCAATATGAATCTGTTTGTATATCAAGACATGGTCTTATGATATTGTCACTTTGAGCAGCGTGGCTCATACTTAAAACAATCCACAAGATTTACTTCAGCAGGAAACCTCTAGAGTAACTCGTAACGAAAAGAAAAGCACAGGAAATACAGAGACGAGCAAACAAAAACCTCTCAACAACTCAAAAAAGGGAGGAAAACACAAGTCAGTTTAGACAGTGCAGCATACAAACAGTTACAAAAATAAAAATAAGGAAATAAAACTATGCAACCAGAAGGGATGTTAGGGGACATTTTAAGGCTCCTGACTGATAACGACTCCCCCATTTGAATAACTTTGTTTAAAACTCAGTGCGTTTATCTTAATAAATAATTTAAAGGATATAGCAACAGATTCTGTGTTATTGACACATGCAAGACAAACAGAATCCCCTGCAAACGTCAGCTCTACAACAAGCTGTTGTTTTATGAGTGAAGTCATCCAGAGAAGCAGCTAAGAGAACGGAGTTCTCTCGTTCTTTTCGCTCTGAAGCAAAATATTTCCCAAGTGAAATCTTTAAGCAACATTTACGGCCTCTTAGTTCACGTTGCTGCCCATCAGGATGTCATCGTTATTAAACTATAAATTGACGTTTCCCTTTAAGCAGCGAGGTTCCTGAAATTTCCTTTCTAGATGTTATGGTCATTTAAAGATGACTTAATCCTCAAGAAGAGAATATTGTCAAATGTACAAGATGGGAGGTGAATACCCACAGATTCTGTGAAATACAAAAGATTAAAACAGAACAGATTCTTCATGAGAAAGGCACCAGACACGTGGACGCCACACAGAACCACACATCTTCGGACTAAAGTTTAACCAGCATGTTTACGGTATATTGGCCACAATTTTTATTTTTTTTTCTTTGTTTTCCCCTAACTGTTTGTATGTCTTATGAACAGAAATGTGGTCCAGTCAACTCTCATTTTATGTCTAAAAAAATCAACTAAAAAATAAAAATAAACTTGTAAAATGATTTCTGACTTGATACATGAGCACAGACTTTACATATAAAAATGTTTATCTTGATACAACATGTCTAAACAAGAGAAAGGGAATTCAGCAGGATAACTACGAAGAGAAATATCTGATATATACATGATGACTACAAGGATAATGGTTGCTCCCCCATCTTTTTGAAAAATGTACACAAAATTCACTTTTAGCTTCAGTAAATTCGTTGCAAGTAAAACGTTTCTTTTGCTTTTTGAAAATAGTTCAGTTCAACACATTTCTAAGCAAACATTAAAACAAAGTGGCCAAATGAAGGGAGAGGAAAAGTAAAAGAGAAATGCAAAATGAGCCGAAATGACGAGGAATGAGGACGCCTCAATAAGGAAATGTTCAAAACTGATGCTGAATTTAAAGGTGTTGGTAATGTAGTGGGATACCCTAAACATGGCTAAAAATGCCTGTGAACATAAAGTGATACATTAGATGATGCAACGGAGAATGTACCTATATCATCATAAAGGCCGGTCAAAATAAAGATTTCTGACATCAACTTCTCAGCTATAAAACACCAACTTATCAGACAATTTTGGATCAGTAGCTACAACACCTCACTTTCCCACAAAATTGTATCTGAGCAGAATTATCTGACAAAAACGTAGTTTTAACTCAATAAAAACCGACAACGACTCTTTCTAACACTTCCCGACAATGAAACGAAGGCGTCTCTTAACCTTAAAAAGTCCACAAGCACTCCTAGCACAGATATGAAAAGCAAAGTCTAAATACTCCACAATCAAACATGGAACTAAAACAGGTTTATTCCAAACACAATCCGGGTAAAAGGTAAACAAAGCAACCTAATAATACTCATGGAACAGAGAAGACCCAAAAACAATTTTTAACTTTCAATCCAGAGAACAGTTCCAACCAGAAACTTACTGCTACATAATCTTCAAAACTATGTTTTAAGAAAAAAATAAAAGTGCAGACTCTGCCCGGTCACTGTTAAATCACCATTAGCACCTCTGTCTGTACAACCAATGTCCACTAGGTGGCGCCACTGACCAAAACTGGATATGTAGCTGAAAAGAACAAAGCACCGACTGTGATAAAACGCTACCGCCTACAGGAAGAGAGGAAAACTGGCAACACAAAGCTCATATGGGCACATGGACCATGTTCTGCCACAACTACTCCCTGCATCAAAAATAAAAGTGTATACTGCCAAATCTGAAAATATTTTGAAGAGGATAGCAACCATTATCCCGTGATAAGCTCTACTTAAAGGGCCTGTTTAAGATCTGGGTGGGCAGGACAAAAAAACAAAAACAAAACAAACATCACAAAAGGGATTCACCGTTCAGTCTTTTCAATGTACTTGTAAACCTACAGCAGGCAAAGTCAAAATGCATGCACGCTTGCAGCTTATACTGTCTGTGTTCGTTCGTCCGGACAAGGAGACCAACGTCGAACTTTGTGCAGAGATGATGAATGGACCCCAAACAGTTGGAGGAGATTTTCCTGCCCCGCTGGTGGAGTTATGCACAAGAGACGTCCCACGAGAGGAGAAGGCGACTTCTTACAGGCTTTGTTCATCAATCAGTGACACATCAATGTGGGACAAATCAATCATGTGCCTGCGTAGCAATCATAATTATCTTTGAGTCAATTTGATTTCTAGCTCTATACAGCGTTATCAATATAAAAAAAACAGCTCTGTAATAATTTTATCGTCACTTGTATAAATAAAGGGAGAAGAGCGTCGATTACCTGTTGAAGCTCATTTGGAAACTCGCAGCATGTTCGGGCTGAGAAAATTTGGCGATAGCTTTCCTCTGCTGGGGGATCATTTTAAACATCTGCAGAGACCAAAAAGAGAACAAAGTGAGGAAAAAAAAATAAAAATATTTACTCAGGAGATAAATGGAATAATTACTTCCCTTTATAAATCTCATTTCCAGTCAACAGAGGGCGCTATGGTATCGCATACATGCAGATTTAAGCGTTTCTACTTCTGTGGGTGCAAGTAAATATCCATTTTCTAAACATTAAATATAAAAGTGATGACTTTTTTAAAAAGTGCTGGAAATGTTTTTTTTTTTTAACTAGATGACAGAACTAAAACTACAAAAATGCAAACAAAATTTAAAGTTTCTTAAAGGTGATGTGAAAGTTATTGATGGACGTTTTAAGTGAAAGTACTCAGAATTCAATGATCAGTATTTGATTAGGGTACAAATACTACCCCCCTCCACACGCAACATGTACATACAAAGGAACAGCTATTCAGGCTTTTCAACATGCGTTTAGTCCGTCTTTTACTCATAATAATCACATTTAAGGAGGATCTATTTCAGCAACCGGTTCATGATTTTAACGTCTGTTTCACATTTTTGTGGTTGGGATGAAGATTTGGGGTGAATTATATTTTCCTCCTGACAAGTCCTGCTGCTGTAAAACCCCCACTGATGTACCAGAGGCTTCAGGCGCGCGCGCACACACACACACACACACACACACACACACACACAGACACGTTTTTGCTACCTCGTGGGGACCAATGACATACTCAAGCCTTATGGGATCCACCATTTGTGAAAGGTTTAAAAATTTTGTTGTAATTGCTAAATTCATAAAAACAAATAATTACAATAACCATGGGTTGAAATTTTGAAAACACTCCTATTGATTTTTTTACAAGACATTTTGCATCCCCCTGGGGACCGGACCACTCATCTCCACAATAGCACCATAGCTAATGACAAAAAAACCCTTAAAAAATAAGTTTAAATTGTTATATAAAATAACAGTAAGCTGTTTCAAAAAGATATTTAATCAAAAAAGTTCCAACAGGTGTAAGACAGAAAGATCATCATTTGCTGTTTTACTAAATATTTTATTCAAGTAAAAATCAATAAGAATTGTTCCCCAAACTTTTTTGTGAAAACTGAAAAACACAAGTAGACAAACAAACCTACACTTTCACTCATGATTTATGAAAAACTATGTTGCATTTTCTTATTGTTGACTCAAGTGTGCATGTTCTGCTTTGTACAACATAACAAATAACATGTATATAGCAGGCATCAATAGCAAGCATCACATTCTGATTTTCCAGGTACTTTACCAGTCTTTAT